CCTCTGAGGCTCAGTTCTGTCTTTTCTATTATCTTCCACTATGTTTGAATCTCTCAAACTATCTAAGAGGAGCACTCTTGTAAAATTATGATTTTCTTTATTAATTGACTGAACAGATTGACCATGAAATGAGGCCACATAACACTCTGGGCCTATTTTGTTTTGCAGAAACAATTATAACAGTAGTGTCCCTTAGATTAGGTCTTTGCTGTATAGAACTATCTTTGTTTAGGGTATTTTATATATTTAATAAAAAAAGTGTGATAGAAAGACAGACAGACAGACAGACAGATAGATAGATAGATAGATAGATAGATAGATAGATAGATAGATAGATAGATAGATAGATAGATAGATAGATAGATAGATAGATAGATAGATAGATAGATAGATAGACAGATAGACAGACAGACAGACAGACAGACAGACAGACAGACAGACAGACAGACAGACAGACAGACAGACAGACAGACAGACAGACAGACAGACAGATAGATAGATAGATAGATAGATAGATAGATAGATAGATAGATAGATAGATAGATAGATAGATAGATAGATAGATAGATAGATAGATAGATAGATAGATAGATAGATAGATATGACAACATATTACATTGCTTTAACTCATCAAAATGAACAGCAATTTTCAACTTTTTTATGTTACACAAGATTTCAATTATTTTTTTAAGTCAGTTTAATGTAATTTAAGTTGAAATGACTTTGTGTTGGGAGGCCCTGCGATAACCACCACACAAAAACCACCCCCACCCCAAACCCCAGCCCCACCATCCCTCTTCCCATCCCCCATCCCCCACCCCCCACCCCCAAAAAACTGTGATGTGAAGTTAGTTTAAAAAAAAAACATGGGGAGTTCATTTTGGGTGGTATATTAAATGTTTTTGCCAAACAGTTTACAACATCGATTAGTTTTGTTTCACAATTGTTTCCCCAAAGGACACCAAAGGATGATTAAACTGCTTCAGGAAGAGTATTTGTGAATCTTATTGGTAATGACTGATTATTAATGTTCCAAGCCAAAGGATAATGTGAAGTTTAATGGATCATGTTTAATGAAAATATGTGTTTGCGTTAATGAAGCGAGTTCAGGCTTTGACCTGTGTTAATGGTTTAGATCAGTGAATGCCAGCTTCTATCCATCAGGGCTATGTTTCAGGTGTCTGTAAAGTGCTGCAGATGTAAGAGTTTCACCACCTTTTTAGGAAATACCACCACAGGAATGTAGAATGAGCAAATTTCTTCTTTCTAATGGAAATGTCACCTGATTACCATTTTAAAAGGTCTGTTTTAAACATTTATGTCTGTACCCTTTAATCGCAAGCACATTTTCCTCCAAACTTCCCAGTCTAATTAGCATAGTGACTATAGTCACATAATTGCAAATACATTTAAATAATTTGACTTTAGATTAAATGACTCACAGATATCAAGCAAGATGTTCTTCAGTGAAACCCCCCTGGGCTTAATGGATAATGCTGTTTTAATAGTCTCTCAGTAAAGTAAATATTTTTAGCAGCCTAATCCTTATTGCCCTTTCTTTTAGCGTGTACCGTGTTGTTTGTAATTAATTGATTGAATATTGAAGTAACACAACTTGAGCGAAAGGCCACAGCTGGTTCTTAAAATGCAAGAAGCACAGGAACACTTTTCAAAAATTGTTACATTTAAAAAAGCAGTTTTATTCAAATTAAAAATTTACTTTTATTGTATTTGTTCATGTTCCTGTACAAGCATGACAAGCAATGGCAAACAAATGATGACTATATAAAATGTATACAGCCTGTTAAATTACTCTCAAGTTGGCTTGGAGCATAACGTTTTTAGTAATTCCATTACATGCTTTTTGTATTACTTGTTTAATTTATTTTTTAGTTCAGTTTTAGTTTTAGTTAGTTTTAGTTTTATTTATTTCCAGTTAATAATTTTAGTGCTTCAAATATGGACCTATAATGCCCCTTTTTACAACATGTAATATAAGTCTCAAGTGTCTTCTGAATGTGTCTGTGAAGTTGCAGCTCAAAATACCCCACAGAGATTTTATTAAACCATGATGTAAATGCCCATTTTTGAGTGGAAGGAAAAACATGCAGTTTTTGTGCATGTATCTTTAAATGCAAATAAGCTGCTGCTCCCCACCCCACTTTCCAGAAGAGGGCGGAGCCTTTATAGCTCCTGCCTCAGATACTACTCTACGGTGGCCGAGACAGCTCAACGCGCTGCAACTGAAGCAAACACATGCAAATAGAGAAAAACGTGTGCAAATAGAAAAAAACGCATGCAAATAGAAAAAAACACATGCAAATAGAAAAACACTCGTGCAAATAGAAAAAAACACCAGCAAATTAAAAAAAACATCTTCATCAGTTTCACAACACATGTGTGCTCCAAATAAGGAAACGCGCTGCAAAAGTTCACAACACAACCAAATACAGAAAACGCGCTGCAAATAACACAGACCACAACGGAAATGTTTCCAGGGGAACCAAATAAGTGACGAACCCGGCTGAGACGTGCTTGCTCGTGAGCTTCCCTATGCCATACTCCCTTCGAAGGGCAGATTGCAGAGCCCTTTTGGAGTGAGCAAACCTCTAGTGTGCTGTTAGGCAGCCGTGTGGAGCGCACTTGATGAAGGGAGCAACTAAAGACAACGTGGGATGTTCCCATGACAACGCAGCACGGTGTCCATCAGCTGGTCTTACGACAGAAATATGATGCTGTTAACATAACGGATGCAAATACATTTTTATTTTTAGTTTACAAAAAAAGCTTTTAAAATATGTGTTATATATCTGTGTCTCAACTTTAAAATTTAAATTTTGGACCCTACATTACCTAACATTTCTTACGAAACTTTTCTTTATGAAAATGTAATAACATGAAACAATTTGTACAGTGTAACTGATGTAACTTATAGATAAATATCTTTCCTTCATGTTTTTCTTCTTTATCTTTTTTATTTATTTATTTTAGTTTCCAGCTCATTGTTCTTTTCTCATTTGTATTATGATGACATTGAACATATTGTTAATACATTTTGTACATTGTATACAAGTTGTATGTCATAAAAAATGTAATCTGTATGTTTTGCACAAACAAATAAATAAATAAACAAATAAATAAAGTATAATTTTAAGCTGTAAGCACCAGCACGCATAGATTTATGGATATCTATGCCGCCACGTCCCAGCCGGGTTCGTCACTTATTTGGTTCCCCTGGAAACATTTCCGTTGTGCTCTGTGTTATTTGCAGCGCGTTTCTGTATTTGGGTGGTGTTGTGAGTATTTGGAGCACACATGTGTTGTGAAACTGATGAAGATGTTTTCTTAATTTGCAGGTGTTTTTTTTATTTGCACGCGTTTTTTTTCTATTTGCATGCATTTTTTTCTATTTGCATGCGTTTTATTTTATTTGCATGTGTTTTTTTTTTCTATTTGCACGCATTGTTTTCTATTTGCATGTGTTTTCTTCTATTTGCATGCGTTTTCTTCAGTTGCAGCGCGTTGAGCTCTCTCGGCCACCGTACTACTCTGCCAAAAACTAAAACATCTGTTTGGTTTTGATTATCATATCGCGGTCACGCTCACGTGACATTGCAGTTCTTCCTCAACATTAAAGTTTTTTATCTGCATGCATTTTAAAGCCATATCGGTATAAACTGTTACTTGTGATTTAGGCCTATATGGTTTGCTGAGCGCACACCCCCGAAGCATGCGCAGTTGCGCACTGTCACCGGGCACGCAGTATTGGTTCTTTGGGGATAGAAAAGAGGACGTGAGGAAGAGCGCAACCAAAAATACATCTGACCACCATGTTGCTGGCTGCGATGACTGACACTGACAGGTTCTCTGAGAGGCGGTGCACCGATAGCCGCACCCTCATCGGCTCTGGCCACACCCCTTCGCCATGGCACGTGACCGAAGGAGAAGAGAGGTCGTTTCGAGGGGGGAGGGAAGGGTAATGTATTTGATTAAAGATTATAAGGGTACATGAATTTAAAAAAAATAATGAAGTGCACAGATAAATCATTTATAATAAACACTACAAGTATATAAAAAGAAGATTTGTCAAATTTGATTTCATGCCGACTTTAAACTAAGTTATTTTTCACATCTTATTGCGCTTCAACTTTCAAATACACTCACATAAACTCAGTTGGTTATGTCTGTGAATGTAAACAACAAGTAAAGAAATCGCATACAGTAGTAGGCTATACCTGCTATGCTGTTAATAGCCTATGAATCAAACAACAAAAGAAAAACAGAAAAACTCTCACTGCTCTTGATTGAATAAATGTATAGCTTTAATAAAAAATATATTTCTTACTTCAATGCTACTGTTAAATGCTCTGGTGAAGAGATAAACATGGTGGACTGTGTACAGCTCACTCAGGGCGGGGTCTATGCTAATAGGGCAGAGTCCATTAGCAGTCGGGGGCATCACAAATGCTCATCACAAATGCTAGAATATTCAAATGCCTTGTTCTGAGACTTCTTATGAAAGAAAAAAAAGAGAAGTGGATTGGTTTTTACCATTATAGGGTGGTTGTGTGTGTACACACAGTGCCAACAAACATTTATGTTCAAATGTAAAAGTGAATTTTGCATAATAGGTCCCATTTAAAATTATTTCAGTTTATTGCCAACTTGGCATCATTTCTATTTTTGTTTGTTTAGTAGACATAAAAAAACATGTATGTTAAAAATTTCAAATGTAAAAGTGAATTTTGCATAATAGGTCCTCTTTCAAATTATTTCAGCTTATTGCCAACTTGGCATCATTTCTATTTTTGTTTAGTTTCAGTTTTTAATCATTTATAATAAATAGCCTACTGCAATATTCCGTAGAAAAGTAGACTGTTTTTAGGGCTTCCTAGCCTTCCTAGTACAGTAACATATCCACCAGTGAGGTGTCCTCCAACGGCAGGCATTACTGCACGCCTGCAGCGTTGCGCCCCAGAGCATGAGCTCTTCCCACCTCGCCGCTTCCTTTATACGCATGCGCGTTGTCGCTCATTGTGTTCGCAAAGATGGCGTTGAGTAAAACATTTGGACAAAAACCAATAAAATTTCAACTCGAGCAAGATGAGGATTTTTACATGATAGGTTCAGAGGTACGTTTTCTGTCTCACGGAGAATTGTGCGTATTTTTACACCTGATATGCATTAATGTAGCCATCGTATTAACACTAAAACATCTTTGGCTTGTCTTTGTTGGTTGTTGCCAGTTAAAGATGCTGACATCTGCATATCGACGTTATGAATGAATGATTAAATGATCAATAGAGCTTGCAATCATTCCTGTTTCTCTATAAAGTGAATTGCATATCCGATTTATAAAATTCAGATTTGAAGTGCGATATTTATATTTGGGCCAGACAACTTGGCAGATAACGTTATAAATATAGCAGTGTTTCGTTTCAATAATATGTTAAACATGTTAAAGCGAGTTCACGCAGAAAATAGTTGTGTGATTATTTACCCTGTTCCAAACCTTTATGCCCCCCATTGGAACACAAAAGGAGATGTTAAGAACAATTTTAGGAACTGACAGCCTGAGCCTCAGTCTCCATCTACTTTCATTGCTTCTGTTCTCACAATTCAAGTGAATGGTGACCTAGAGTTTGTAATAACAGTGTGAATGATTTTAAAACTCTTTCAATTTAAACATTATTAAGTGTTTCCATGTGCATTATGTCATACCATGCGCATACTATACTAACGTTACTCTTACTATTTTTAGCACCTCTTTCTATGCCAGAGATAGTAAGAGTAGCTGTGTTTGCGAATACAGCAATGCATTTCTTTTAAAGGGATAGTTCCCCCAAAGATGAAAATTATTTCATACTCACCCTCATGTTGTTCCAAACCCCTAAGACTTTCATTCATCTTCGAAACACATATGAAGATCTTTTTGATGGAATCTGAGAGATTTCTGTCCCTCCATAGACGGCTACGCAACTACCACTTTAAGTTCAAAAAGAGATTGTTAATCTGATCCATGTGAATAAAGCGGTTCAGTCCAAAATGTTCTGAAGAGACACGATTGCTTTATATGATGAAAAGATTGAATTTAGGCTTTTATTAAACATTCATCAACTCACACATCAGTTGTGGTAAAGTAAACGGAAGCTCAAGCATGTTCTTGACGTGCAAGAACTAATGAGGTTCATTCTCGTGTTGATATGATATCTACACAGCTCCATCTCGCGCCGGTTTTAAACAGACCGCGAGCGCTACCCTGCATTAGCAAACGACAAGAGAAACAAAGCCATCGCGGTCTTCTCACAGGTCCTGTCCTCATCTTAAGATGCAAAGAGAAGTGTAATAAAATAAACACTTCAATTTATATTGTTTTTTTTTGTTTTTTTTTCACTAGTCTGAATCAAAGTCATGTTATGGGAGCAAAATAGCCCAAAATCTCAAAATTGACCAGTTAATGAAAAAACAGTATAGTGTCTTCTTTAAACACATTTAGTATTTACTTTGTCTTTGCTTTTTAGGTTGGCAACTACCTGCGTATGTTCAGAGGCTCTCTGTATAAGCGGTACCCGTCACTATGGAGACGCCTTGCGTCCGTGGAGGAGCGGAAGAAGATTGTAGCATCATCACACGGTAAGTGATTCCTTTCCCTTTGAATGATATTCAAAGTCTTAGTTCCAGAAAGCACCTGTAAGCAGCACCTACCTCATAGTCCATTAGTCCTGCTTCTTGACAGCAGTTTGTGCAGTGTTTTTGTTTTACACACAACTTTAGCCACCAGTGTGACCCTGCTGAAGGCGTCTGAATGTGAGGAGATCTTCGAGGGGAATGATGAGAAGTACAAGGCAGTGTCCATCAGCACAGAGCCGCCGGCGTATCTCAGGTGAGAAGTCTGGGGGTCCTCGGTTATGTGATGTACAGGTCTAAATGGAGAACAAGAAATTATAAAAATATAATAAATACAGCACCAAGTCAACTGGGGTTGTTTTTATTAATACACATATGAACACTTCCAGTCAGTTTTGTGAATAGATTTTTTAAAAACTATTTTATAGCAGATTTTATCTATGTATTCTTTATAAATTTATAAATTTTATGTGTTTTATATATATATATATATATATATATATATATATATATATATATACAGTATATATTTATTTTATATATACTATGTATGTCCCCAAAAATATAATTTTCTATTGGAGTTTATGTTGTTATAACTTTGTATCTGAAATTTAGGGAGCAGAAGGCAAAGAGGAGCAGTCAATGGGTGCCTACCCTACCCAACAGCTCCCATCACCTGGACGCAGTGCCTTGTTCCACCACTATCAACAGAAACCGAATGGGACGTGACAAGAAAAGGACATTTCCATTATGGTAATATGAGTAATGAGAGTTTGACAAGTACAGACTCTGTTTTTTGGCTTTTCGTCCACTTCTGTTAGCTTTAAAAAAAAAACATTCACTACCATTCATAAGTTTGGGGTCAGTAAGATGAATTATATATTTGCTAACCCCAAACTTATGAACGGTCGTGTATGTGTTTGCGGTTTTAAGGTTTCGCTTAGCTTTGCTGCTCTTATTTGTGTTTTATGTGTTGTTATGCAGGTCTTACTATCTTCTAATCTGGTTGTTCTGTAAAGCACTTTGGTCAGCCTAGTGACTGTTTTAAATGTGCTATACAAATAAAGTGAACTTGAACTTGTTCAAAAGTTTTGGGGTCGGTAAGATGTTTTTAAAAGAATTCCCTTGTGTTCACCAAGGCTGCAATTATTTGATAAAGATACAGTAAAAACAGTAATATTGCAAATTATTACTACTTAAAAGTTATAATAATAATAATTTAATTATAAATATTAATACAATTTATTACTAATTTAAAATGCAATTTTTCCTGTGATGTCAAAGCTGAATTTTTTGCAGCCATTACTTCAGTCTTCGTTGTCACATGACACTTAATAAATAATTCTTAAATGCTGATTTCTTTGCGCAAGAAACATTTCTTATCAATGTTGAAAACAGTTGTGCAGCTTCATATTTGTGTGATGCATTTTTTCAGGATTTTTTCAAGATTAAAAAGTCTTACTGACCACAAACTTTTGATTGCTAATGTATATGCTTGCGTACTTCTAAATGTTGACAATTTCTTTCTGGGAAAACAAAGCATAATTGATGCTGTCTGCCTCCGTTTGAAATATTTCAGTAGGAAATATGTCAACACAGGAAAGAAAATGTGCTCATCAAGCCATTTCACATCGGGTCTTTAAACATTTCTTAGATTCGACCTGTCAACAATCATCGGCATGTGACTCAATCTAAATACCGGTATAATTAAGAAATGTAAAACTCTGGATAATTATTTAAGCAACCGTTGATTGTTGCATGATGTTATCAGGACATTATCGAAGCAGAGGATGTTTATTAAGGAACCAAACCACATTTCTGCTATATACTTCCCATGACTTAGTTGTTTTGGGTCAGCAGATGAAGCAATAGTCCAAAACACTGGCTTGTTATTGCGAAGATTTCTTTCAGGTTATGTTTATCACTGACAGAATCTTTTCTGATTGTAATGAAAAGCAAATACCCATGATAGGCTAATTTTCCTTTGGACATGCTGAAGTTCCTTCTTCCTCATTTCCTACACGAAAAGATAACCTGATAATGGTTCAAACGCTCAGAAAGTCCCAGTTTTTAAGACAAACAGAAATTAGCCTGATGCATTTGTGTTTGTAGGTCCTCAATTGACCTACATCATCTTATCCCAAGAGGAAGTCCTTTGGGGGATATTTAGCTGAATGTAATGACCCTTGCAATATTGTCAAAATACCCTTCTGAGGACTGTGGTAAATGTCAATGATTGGCTTTAAATGAGACAGTTCAGACTCGAATGCCACCATCCAGCTGTTGGTTTAAAGCAATGCTCCAAAACAACTTCATTCTGCTGTCATTACTTACAAGACAAGCATTTTAAATCCCTCACATAATCATTACATATGTAGGTTGTTAAACTTTCAGGCATTTGTTGTTTCAGGAAAGGGCAGGACATGAAGGAAACATGTGGGCAGTTGTTCAGAATCAGAGCCCTGGTGTGGAGTTGAAGAGCACATGCTGCAGCATGGTGCTAATTAATTATAGAGTGTGTTTATGGGTCTCTGCTTTCTTTCAATGCATAGTTTCGATGACCACGACCCGGCAGTCATCCACGAAAACGCATCCCAGGCAGAGGTCCTGGTGCCTATCCGCTTGGACATGGAGATTGATGGGCAGAAGCTCAGAGATGCCTTCACCTGGAACATGAACGGTAATTTCATGCACATTATTTTCATGACAGTTACGCATAATTTCCCCCCTAAATAGTCATTACAGTAAGGTGCAAAACTCTCATTCTCATTACTTTAATAAAGAAATGAAAATCATTAAGTTCAGACACAATCTGTCTGTGTGTGTTTTAGATGCTGTGACATATTCTTACGATTTAAAGTAACTTTTCTATATATTTTAGTATATTTTCATTTGCAGTATCTCATGGTCCTCCAGAAATCATTCTAATATTCTGAGTTGGTGCTCAAGAAACATTTATTACTTTTAATAATAATATGTTGAAAACAATTGTGCTGCTTCATACATTTTTTTTCAGGATTCTTTGATGCTTACAACGTTCAAAAGAACAACATTTGTTTGAAATAGAAATCTTTTGTTACAGTCTTTATTGCACTTTAATGCTCAATTTAATGCATCCTTGCTGAATAAAAGTATATAAAAAAAATGTTTTTTCAACAAAAAAAAACCTCACTGACTTAAAGGGATACTCCACTTTTTTTGGAAATAGGCTCATTTTACAACTCCCCCAGAGTTAAACTGTTGAGTTTTACCGTTTTTGAATCCATTCAGCCGATCTCCGGTTCTGGTGGTACCACTTTTAGCATACATCATTGAAGTGGACAAGACCATTAGCATTTCTCATAAAAAAATGACCAAAGTGTTTCGATATTTTTCCTATTTAAAACTTGACTCTTCTGTAGTTACATCGTGCACTAAGACCGACGGAAAATGTAAAGTTGCGATTTTCTAGGCTGATATGGCTAGGAACTATACTCTCATTCCTGCTGCAATAATCAAGAAACTTTACTGCCGTACCATGAGAGCAGCAGGCGTAATGATATGACGCAGCTGGGGACTATTTTCAGGCGCTGCGTCTTATCATTACGCCTGATGCACTGATTATTGCAGCAGGAATGAGAGTATAGTTCCTAGCCATATCAGCCTAGAAAATCGCAACTTTACATTTTCCGTCGGTCTTAGTGCACGATGTAACTAAAGAAGAGTCAAGTTTTAAATAGGAAAAATATCGAAACACTTTGGTCATTTTTTTATGAGAAATGCTAATGGTCTTGTCCACTTCAATGATGTATGCTAAAAGTGGTACCACCAGAACCGGAGATCGGCTGAATGGATTCAAAAACGGTAAAACTCAACAGTTTAACTCTGGGGGAGTTGTAAAATGAGCCTATTTCCAAAAAAAAGTGGAGTATCCCTTTAAGGGTTTTGAATGGTAGTGTATGTTTTTGCTTTTCATTTGCTGTTGAATGCAAGATGCTTTCATACTAAAGACATTTAGTTGTAGAAGTTTTTAGAAGTGTCTGCTTTTGCGTTTCCAGAGAAACTTATGACTCCAGAGATGTTTGCTGAGATCCTGTGTGATGACCTGGACCTGAATCCTCTCGCCTTCGTCCCTGCCATCGCCTCAGCCATTAGACAGCAGATCGAGTCCTACCCTACCGACAGCATTCTGGATGAGCAGACAGACCAGAGGGTCATCATTAAGGTGTCTTTTACAGTAGTACCCAAAAGCACATTTTTAATTTTTATATTTTTGGACTAAATTAGACTTAATTAACTGATCAAGGCCTGATTAATATTTGTCTGTGAAATGGTCTCTTTATGGCAGTGTTCACACAGCAGCAGAATACGTTTTGTCAGTCCTGTATTTGAGTCTTTAATACAGTTACGTTCACACACAGTTCAGTTATTTACGGGAGTTACCGCATTCTATACCCGAAATCACACCTGTACAATTTCAGGACTCACAACCACATTTTCGAAAATCCTGTGCTGTGTGAACGGAACCGAACGTTTCACATCATACAGTGCGAGAGAGCCGCTCTGCAATGCACAAACGCGTGTCAATCGTGTGTTGCAGGTTTTCAGGTTTTTTGTGGTTTTGCTTTTGGTAACTTACAGTGATGGAGATATGAGCTATGTGTCATCTGAAGGTTTTAGATCCAGTAACTGTTCTGCTCCCGTCAGTTTTGTGTTCTACGCATGACTCAAATGCTCCGCTCTTCACCCAGATATAAAAACTGCTGTCATTTAATGAAGATTGGACTTGTATTAAAAGTGATAAGACTTTTTTGGACGGTCACTGTGGTTACTAGTTAGAGCAGTGGTTTTCAAACCCTGGGTCGCGACCCTCGGGTGGGTCGCGAGAATTAAAAAATGGGTCGCCAGTGATTTAAAAAAAAAAAAAAAAAATCCGTTTTCTAATTAAATTAATATTAATAATAATAGCTTTGAAACAACGAAACAAACTGAATGCTTCTCCTGACATGCGTCGCGTGTTGCCCTCTCGTCCTGCGAACCGGCTTGGGAACAGATTATGCAGAATAAGCAGGCCCTTCTCATTAATATACACAAAACACGCACTCGTTCGCTCCACCCGCAACACACACACGTTCGCTCCATCGGCAACAACACACTAACACTCGTCGTTCCTTCCTAGGGCTGTCAAAATTAGGCTACTCAAAAATTAAGTTCTAAAAAATCCCTCTAAAAAAACACATATGCTATATTCGAACTATTCGAACATCTGGTTGTGCATTTTGTCAATGACGCGCATTACGTCAATAACAGGTCAAATTAATACAAAGAGACATAACTACTTGTTTAGGTAGTTTATTTAAGTTTAAACATATTTGACAACGTATTACCTACACAAAAACAAGTAGCCTAAATCAACTAATAGCCAAGACCGCAGACCTCACTCTCGCTAGGCACTCTTTCTCTCTCTCTCTCCCTCACCTCACGCTCTCTGCCCATAACGGTTTAAATGAACAACAACAACAATAAACAAATGTTGAGTGCTGATCAAGAGTTTTGTGCAAGCAATTTAAGGTTGCGACTCTTGTCCCAAATATAGCAGGCTTCATTCAGTGATTGAAACAAATATTATTAACATTAATTGAAGTTTTAAAGGACCGACATTGAACGCGCCGAGCGAGCTGTGCTGTGGTAAACATGGAACTTTTCCTTGACATGAAACGGTAAATAATCAAACCAGTGAAGCCTGCGATGCATGGAACTGCTGTATCTAACCTACCTTATTCATGCAATAAATAAGAATAAGAAATAAAAAAACTTTCAGCTGTGCCAGTGCGACTCTAGTGACCTGTCCCTGATCCCTCAGGCAGCGCACTCGCAAAGCAGACAGCCGCGCCTCTGATACCGCGGGCGTGTTTTTCCACATTCAAATATTAATTTTCACATTCGAAATTCTGTTTTTTAAAACTATTCGAATATAAAGGCCTATTCTAATTTAGAATATTCGTTGACAGCCCTATTCTCATTTGAATTATAAATAAGTTTGCTTTTAAACTGTGTGTGATTTTGGTTGGGTGACAGTTAAGTTTGACAAGAGTTTACAGTTTGACAAAACCACAATGTTGTGTTTTAACAATGTTGTGTCGAGTGTACACAAGTATAAATAAACACTTTGCAGTTTGAATGATGTCCTGTATGAACGACGGAGTATATTTTTTGTTTCCAGTGACGCGCCTCACACACACACACACACACACAAATACACCATTCCAGGCTTGACATCGCAGCCTGCTCATTATAGCCGAAATAAAAATATGACAATAAAATAGTCAACCTAATATAAAAATCACACTGCTCTGTTTAAATAGTCAATTCGTACCATTCAGCGTAAGCACCGCTCAACTGTGATGTTTCCAAGCACATTTTTGCGCATGTGAAAAGGATGATTTTTTTTCCTGTCGATATTGCAACGTGAGTGAAGTTGCTACAACGCCTATAATAAAAAATAGTTTACCATCAAATACATCGCGAATGTTAAAATATTTTGATTCTAATGAGAGAGTTAGGCTACGTGAGCATAATGCCCCTTTTACTTTCCCTTTAAATTATTTCGTTTTGGCTTGTTTAGTAATTATTTTTTTATTCTTGTTCTGTTCTGTATATAATGAATATTACATTTAAAGAGTTTGTTGTGGAATATGTTTTGTGTATTTGTATTTTTTAAGCATTCAGCAAACGATAAGTTATTTATTGGTTAAAAGTCCTGTATGTAGGCCTATAGCTTGATCAAATTATTTCAAAATCGACTTTGCGTTGCAATCGCGTCAAGGATCAGCAAGTGCACGTGCATAATCAAAAGTAAAGTGGTTAAAAAAAGTGCTTAAAGAAAGGTTAAAGAAAAAAAAATTCTGTGCACAAGCCTATGGGTCGCGTAAAAAAAGAAAAGAAAAAAAAAGGGTCCCTCTTGAAAAAGTTTGAAAATCACTGAGTTAGAGAATACAGGCTTGACTCCCGTTGCACATTCATACAGACAGTATTCGAGGCGTTACGGTAAGTTGCTGTGTGAATGGGACATTGAGACTCACACCTGTTAGTGAATCCAGTTGTTAATCCCAAAAACGAAGTGTGTAAATTTAGTCTGTTGAAAGCCAATCATAATGCATGTGGCTAACTGTAGGGATGCACCGATATCGTGGCCGATACGATAATTCTTTATATTTAAAAACCGATATGTTGGCTGATAAATCTAAATCCAGATCTTTCTATATTTTTTGAGAGCCTAAACAAAAACAAAAGTCTCACCATTAAATCCATTTATGGTGGATAGAAGCACACAATTATAATGATATTCTCATTATAATTTTATGTAGCCTTAGCCTATATGACGGACTTGCACTTTACATCTTGCACTTAACTGTATTTTCCTTTTTGAAGTGATTCCAATCATATTTCAAGCAATTAAAAACCACCATGGCGAACAGTGCGCATCTGAAGTGTCTCAGCTGAAGGAAATAATCCATTATTTTTCGGCCAAGTTTTCTTATTGGGCCGATAACGATAAAAACGAACATATATCGGCCGATAACGATATGGGGGCTGGTATATCGTGCATCCCTAGTTAATTCCATTGCTGACCTGCATTGTGCTTTCAGCTAAACATTCATGTGGGGAACATCTCTCTGGTGGACCAGTTCGAATGGGACATGTCAGAGAAGGAGAACTCACCAGAAACGTTTGCTTTGAAGCTCTGCTCTGAGTTGGGCCTCGGAGGAGAGTTCGTCACCACCATCGCCTACAGCATCCGCGGACAGCTCAGCTGGCACCAGAGGACGTACGCCTTCAGGTGGGCAACACGCATGCACTTCCAATACTGGTCAGTGGGTTAATGCTCACCTAAAAACATCAGTTCTAGTTCCATTTTTATTATTTTGCTTTCTCATATAGATGAGCAGAGCTTCACAGTGTGTGAAAACTATTGATAGAAAATTCATGTGCCTTGGGGCTTTTAGTTTCAGGATGATGCTGGTCCATTTTTATGCAGTAGGTCATAAATGAAGTAGCTTGATGCACAAACCCCTCTAGAAACACTGTATTCCCCGTAGAGTCATTTTAGGACAGTTTCTTGTTTTCAAAATCACTGCTTGCCATGATTTATATGTGCTGACATGATCTCCAAACTCATTTATAAACCATACAGTGAGTGTAATGGAAGACTCGCTGTGGTATTCCCTCTGCGGCTCACTGTTGAGACATGATTTGTTCTTTAGTATTTATACCGCCACTTCACTGTCATAAGGCAGAGAATAAATTATTTCCCTAGCCTGTAATATTGCCTTGGAATTTACCCAAGAATCAGTAGGTATTTTGTAAACAGACTAAAAACCTATTCACAGTTTTCGCAGAAGAATAAAAAAAAGAAACTATGCATGCCTTGACAATGATCCAACTTCTTTGCGTGTAGGTTGAATTTTTTTCCACTTGCCACAAAAACCTATTTATCAGTGAGAAAGATGCTTATATGGGTTATGTGTCTGGGATGGCATTCTAATCACTGTCAAGCAAGGAACTATAAAACTCATAGCAGCAACAAACAAGTGGAGTGAAAAAAATGGTTATGGATGAGTACAGAGGATTGTATTTATTAAAACATTTTTAGAAGTAATAATAAGTTGATTAGTAGTAATAAATGTTTAAATAAACTTATTAAATAAAATAAGTAATATATATTTTAAAGAAATTAATTATATTCAGCAAGTATGCAATAAATTGAAATGGAACACGATTTCTATCTTAAATTCTTTTGAACTTTCTGTTCATCAAAGAATCCTGAAATAGTATCAGGTTTCCGCAAAAATATTTTAAGTAGCACAAGTGTTTTCATCATTTATAATAATATGAATCAGCATATTAGAATGATTTATGAAGGATCATGTGAAACTGAAGATGGAAGTAATGATGCTGAAAATTCTGCTTTGTCATCAGGAAAAATTGGCATTTTATGATTATTTCACAATATTGCTGTTTTACTGTATTTTTGATTAAATAAATGCAGAATTGAACGTAAGAGAAGACTTTAAAAAAAAACATACAACCCCAAATTTTGGACGGTAGCATATGTCTCACATGTATGGTGTTCTTGCATGTAATATTTACATTGATATCTGTGTTTGTTTGTGCTGTACTGTATTGTTTGACCTGTATCTATATCCTGTGTGTCTGTAGAGATGTCTGGGGCCTGGTTCCATTTTAAACAATGATTTACTGTGTTATATAAGGTTGTATGAAGTGGAATTTCCATAATGTGGTCATATATACACAAACACACACGGCATGTCTTGTTTACGCCGCGAAATTAAGACCATCTTTAATGCGGTCTGAGCCTTTACAATCTCGTTTATTTGTCCGACAGCAAGCAGACAACCGTTTAAGCATTGTGACTTCTCTTTATTGTGCCCTAAAGTAGTTTTATGTGTTTCTCTTTCCTCCATTGGTTATAAAGTAACATTTTCTCCCTGCAGTACAGCTTAGATTGATTTCTGCTTCCATAATGATTCATAATTCAGTTGCTTTTCTCTTGCATGGCTTGCAACCTTACTTTTGCCCTTTAGAGGTCGGGGTTTGTGGGGGCGTAACCAGTTAGAATTACATTTTCACCATGAGATCATGCTGTCTGTAGATCATAGGTGAAAATGGCACATTATTCGCTTTGTGGTTTAGTTAAAATGTTAGAGTTTTTGTTTCATTCTTTGTGATTAACTTCATTGCTTTTTGTTTTTGCTTTGCTATAACCTTCTAATTGTTTGCTTCTCCCACTGTCTGTTCCAATAGGTCTGATTTCAGGTCAATATGCTTCAAAATTTCTTGATCTTCTCTCCCTCTTACCCCCCACGTTTCATACCCTGGGAAGCTGAGTACTTTCACCTTTTCTTATTTTTGTTATATCTTTGCAGGACTTGTCCCTGTGTATTGACATTCCGATAATGCCTAATTCAGTTTTCCTCCTAAAAATGACGTAGCATAAACCTAGTGATACCAGGACAGACTGTTCTGTTTGACCCCTGCATGTGCTGCCACAGCATGGCTTTGATATCTGTATGACGGTTAAAAGTAAATCGTATAATTTATATAAACCGTTTTTCTTAACAAAAGTTGAATAGGTATTTCTAGATATCAGTCTTCACCTTTGTGCCTCAGTGGTCATCAATGATGCATCATTGGTCTTCAATGATGTTTAAGTGATGCTGTCCTCTTCTGACCCCATCTGGCTCATTTCCTGTAGTGAGAACCCATTACCAACGGTTGAGATTGCCATTCGGAACACAGGTGATGCCGACCAGTGGTGCCCTCTGCTGGAGACCCTGACAGACGCAGAGATGGAGAAGAAAATCAGAGACCAGGACAGAAACACAAGGTGACAAATTAGACCTTGCCTACTAGACACCTTTTTGTTTATTTTACATTCGTTTTATATATAATGAATTCATATGTATTGCACCTGAATAATATTGCTTTCTTTTAATTTCGCAGGCGTATGAGACGACTTGCCAACACCGCCCCGGCCTGGTAAAGACAAGACGTTACTGATGCTGCCACTCAATAAGCTCAGTCTCTCGAATGGCCTCAGGGTTGCTGGAGGCCTTTGCACAGATCCACACAGCTCTAGATAACATTCCTCCAGCCTTCTGACCTCCTCAACCCATACAGCATTACACACTTTCTTAATACCAGGCCTTTAAACTCTGATCTGGCAACCTCGCGGAGGCTGTTCGGGACGTTGCCGTTTATCTGGTCTCCAGTTATAGAGACCTCTGTCTAGTCTGGTTGTAAGAACAGGACTTTGTTGAGAAGGTTTGATTGAGTATTGTGTTTTTCGTTAAAGGTGCTAATGCATACTATGAACTTGACTTGCTTTTTTTAAATAAAGACAATGGCAAATTGTATTCTTATAGTTCTCTGTGTATATATTTATATAAATATATTATTAATATTATTATTATTAATAAGTACAATGATCTCAGTCATTAAAAACCTCTAAGTATTTCAAAAAAAAAAAAAGATTATTAGATAATATTTTAATAATTAAATGTCAATGTAAATATAATAACAATAATTATTATTTCCAGGAATCATGGAAATGAATAAAATCTTAATTTTATTTTAATTTCTATAGTGAATTCTGTTTTTTCTACTCTTCACTAAAATGTTGCACTTTGAGTCATACCAATTCCTTGCTTTAAAGCTGTGGGAACTATAAATTTGTTTTGGTTTATATTGGTATGCTTAAAAATAAGTTTTTCAATGTCTGTTTCAGCAGTCATTTGTTTAAATGTTGTCGTATGCTGTCTCATTCTGTGCATTAGTTCATCAGCTGGGCCCAGAATCTGTTCTCTTAACCAGATACGTCATGCACAAAGAACCGCTCGCTTCAGTTTCCAAAGCATGCTTTTGAAATTTGAGATGATGTGTTTTTAATGTGTATGGAAACTGGAAGCAGTTCAATCAAAATCCAGAAAGCCCTCATTAGACGATGCCTGTGATAGATTAAGCATTCCTATAACCCCTGTGCCAATCTATCACAGCACATGCAATTGGTGGTTCTGTAGAAAGTAATGGAAATAATAAATACACTAGAGTCCCAACCCCCTTGACATTAGTTGTGCGCTTAAGAAAGAATCAATGACATTCAATTTTTTATAAAAGTTCATGAATCCTTTTAAGCAAGCACTAACATACATTGAGTAAACAATAGGTCCATTTCAGACGTTTTATATTATTTGTTCACTGAATATTTGAAACCTATAAAATAAATGTAAATGGAACATACTGATGCAATGTAGGAACTTTACCTGAACATGTGTTACTGCATGCCTAAAACTGGAAAGTCATTACACTTTTTTTTCTTTCCATTATTAGGGTGTTTTTCTTTCTTGCACTTGACCACTAAAACCAAAGCACAAGCATCTCTGTGTGACTGTGAAGGGATTTCACGTGATGTGACTAAAGTATAACAAGAAAACACTTAGGCTAATAGGCGACTGAAGTAACTTACTAGTGCTGAACCACAACGAAAAAGATTTTTCACAGATACGACATTTCTGTGTTTTTCAAGCTTAGAAACTGTTCACTTAAACCAGTAAACAAACAAACTAACGGAATGGGTTTGGAAAGAAATGCTGCCATTTTTCTGTTATGTACATTGCAGCTTTGACAAATATCACCTTGTAAGTTTGAAGGTGAATTCCAGGTGCGATAATCAAGAGGCGCATCATCGCTGATCGCAGAGCTTTTTAAAAACTCTTCACGTAGCCTGAGGTCATGCTTGTACCAAGACTCGAGAGATATAGCCTCGCATCCAATTTGGCGTGCTCTTCGTCGGATTCGTTTGCATGTTATTCGAGAATGGTTGGGTTTATCAAAAAAGCTTTTCAAAACTTTTTGCCAGCATGGTCTGAAGATGATTGAATCGTCTTGAGCCAAGGAATCAGAGGAAAAAAATAATTTTAGTTTCTAGCCCTTATGGATCAAAAGTTATTAGAACAAACATAAGTGAAACTTTGACTTGTAGACTCCAAAATTGCTGTGGTTAATGTTCAGACTGTCCTCTATCTCTATCTGTGTGCCAAATTTCACAACTTTTTACCATACGGTTATGGGCTGCCATAGACTCAAGAGCGGAAGAAGAAGAAGAAAACTGGCAGATACAATAGTTGCCTATGACCCCTAATAACAGTACAACCCAATGAAGAGATGTATATCCTTCACAGCCTCTCTTTCATTCGCATTTAAAATCAAAGTTGGCGCTGCTGTGACGTATTGCTTGTTTGTCCTTACTCGAACAAACAAATTGGACATTTCAGTCTTATGAAGATCAGCTATCAGTAGAAGTTGACAGTACATGATTAACAAACTGAAAATCTGACTTGTTGCTGACTTTTAATCAGATCATGATTCGGACTGATTAGGAACAGACATGATTCTGAAAAGTTTTTATAGGTTTTATTCTGCAGCAATCATTAAAAGCCATATGTTTTTCAGTTGCAATGTTCTCTGTGATTTATAGGAAATATGTCGACATACAAACAATCTGCTTTTTAATTTAATGAGAGAAATATTGCAGGGGTCGATCGGGTCAGCTGTGTGCGCATGCTTGTGGTTAGACCTGTGCAGGCTTGTTTTATCCTGAAGGCAAACGTCCTTCAAGTTCAAAATGCAGACATGTGTTTTACAACATACTCTTAGAAGAAGTACATGTGTATGCGTAACAGCAGCACTTTAAGACGTCTGGCACAGTGTCTGGCCTCGGTGACTACTGAAAAAGAAAACAATGCCACTTTATTAATATTGCAAGAGTTAGTCTTTAATCATGATGACAACATGAGTGGTGTTGACGTGTGCAAAAATCAGTTACTCAGCAACTGATATAATGGGTTCTGTCTGGTTGCCAGAGTGTTCTGGGTGTTAGAAAACCTTGAAAATAATTTCATTTTTGGAGGATGTAATATGCATAATCAGAACTAGAGGCTCTTGAATGAAAAGCATGAAACAAAAATGCTTCTGAAATGTTTTGACTGTTAAAGAGCCCCGCAATCATTTAGTGTAAGACTTTCTATAAAGTTCAGAGAAGTGGCTTTCTTCTGTGAAAAAAAAAACACAAAGCCACTCATGACTCTGGTGAGCCCATTTAGTAAGCACGGTTATGAACCGATTCTCTTTCAAATCCTTGATAACGCAAGAATCTGGGTTCATTTCGTCCAAAGCAGCCCGAAATCTGTAATCACTAAAGTGAAACCCTACGAAACGTGTTAACTTGGTGAAGGATGGCGCCAACAGATGCTTCACATAAAACGGAACCGAAATAATGATGTCATCGTGTTGCAATGTCATTGTGCTACAAATTTGCTCTGTGTGATAGAAGCGGGGGAAAGGGGAATTTCAGTCTGAAACCGAGCCAAGACAGCAGGATTCTGGAATTGTCTCGACAGGAGGGTCTGCGGTACACTGCCCTACAAAGCAAAAAGGCAGTAACTACGCAGAGTGCAGAACAGAGAAAAATGACTTTAAAGTTATCCTGTCATCCAGCCTAAGTAGTTGTAGGTAGATTATTGGACATGTGGCTGTTTTGTTACTTTATATTAGATTATTCTTTGTACATATCAATCCTCATATTTAATTTGATAATTTACCCCTATTTTGCAGTTACTGTATTCTTGCTTTGTATTACTTACCAAAAATGTGGCACCATATTAAGGAAAAAGGCAGTAACTACAGATTCTACAAAAACTATTTTGCCACAACTTGGGCTCTGAGTTTGATAAACTGTGTTTGAAATAATTGGAACCATTTGGACAACATTTTCAAAAAATTTGTGTTGCGAAACTAGTGTTGCGGAGCGGGCGTGTTACGGATATGTGGTGTAAATTTTTAGTAATCAAAAATCATGTCTAATTAATTGAAATCATGAAACTTTTATTATAAACTTTTATTAAACTTATACCATATTTTAAAAACAAACATTTTTGGTCAAACAACATGCTGCACAATGAGCTTTACTGTGAACAATTGTGATTATTCCTTTAAAAATTAAGTTTTAATCTTAATTTATTTGTATTAGTGTTAGTATTATTACATCGAGACGTTTCTAAATTCTACTGTACAGCAGTAATATATTTCTTTCAAGTTAAACCGAACTTTTATTTTGACGGGTTGCCGTGAAGACCGTGTCCTCATATAGGCAAAAAACAGCTCGAGCGTCACACACGTGCTTCAGCGCGCGCGCGCGAACAATTAGGGAAAACACTGCATCTCATACAAAATTTGTGCGAAGTTAGAAGCCGTGAGGATGCCGCGAAATCAGCTGTGTGTTCACCATGGCAACAGTAACTACACTACGCAGCAACACGGTTATTTTTTGTTAGGTAAAACCAAAGTCCTTCTCTGGTAAAACATAACAAGAATACAGTAATGGATGTTACTGTACTCTTGCTTTGTTTCACTAGGGCTTTTTGCAGTTACTGTACAAACGACTACCATTTTTCTCCAAAACGACACACATTTGAGATAAGATGTTTTGTCACATAACAAAGGATGCCTTGAATGTAGGGTTGCCAACCGTTCCGTATAATACGGAATCGTTCCGTATTTGACACATGAAAGGCTTGTTCCGTATTGAACTGATACGGAACGCACTTTGTTCCGTATTTTTGAGAATCAATTCAGTGCAAATCCATGACAGACGCATAGCTTCTATGTCAGACAGACTATGATGAATGAACGAAGACCCGCTGCTATAATGGCAAATTCGGGGACTTGGCGCCACCTTGACGGGCTCTGACGTGTAATGACGTAGAGTTGGCTCATTGGTCGCACGTCAGAGGCGCCCGCGCCATTGGATGTGCAGTTGCCGCAGCACAGCCTGAGCGAGCCAGACACTCAATGTGCAAGCTGTGCAGCTGCAAATGCGTTTTACAGGCTTCAGTTAATCGAGTAAAATATGTTTCCGAAGACATTTGTAGGCTATGATAAGAAAAACTACTAAAATTAAAAAATATATTTTTTTGCACTGGAAAGAACATTCTAGAAGTCTAATTCTATTGAATAAGTTCGCACAAGGCTACAGAAAACGGTTGTGTTTATTTTTCTTCAAATGCAGTCTAAGCCGATGAGTTTCGAATGTTATATGTTGTTAAAAATAAAACGTATTATAATCTAAACAAAATACATGGTTCATTTTTGGCAAAATGATCATGATAGCCTTTATATATCTGTGTGTTTAAGTCTTGTATAATGATGAAGCCTACTTTGCTATTCTATAAATATATAGGCCTAATAAGTTGCATTATAATATGATATAAAATGTATGAATTTCAGGGATTAGTTTTCGAAACACCACCACCCAGACCACCCCCCCCCCCCCCCCCCCCCCCCCCCCGTTCCTTATTTC